GGCCTGGTCTACATTACGAGATTATGTCGGATTTAGCAGTGTTAAATCGAATTGACCCTGCACCCGTCCACACAACTAAGCCATTTTTTCGACATAAAGGGCTCTTAAAACCGATTTCTGTACTCCTCCCCAAGGGATTAGCACTGAAATCAACATCACTGTTTCAAATTAGGGTTAGTGTGGACGCAATTCGAAGGTATTGGCCTCCAGGAGCTATCCCACAGTGCACCATTGTGACCACTCTGGATGGCACTCTGAACTTGGATGCACTGGTCAGGTGTACAGGAAAAGCCCCGGGAACTTTAGAATCTCATTTCCTGATTGGCCAGGCAAGCTCATCAGCATAGGTGACTATGCAGTCCCAAATCGAAAAAGAGCTCCAGCATGGACCTAACAGGAGATACTGGATCTGATCGCTGTATGGGGAGAGGAATCCGTGCTATCAGAACTACTTTCCAAAAGACGAAATGCCAAAACATTTCAGAAAATCTCAGAGGCCATGAGGGACAGAGGCTACAGCGGGGACGCAACACAGTGCCACATGAAACCTAAGGAGCTCAGACAAGCATACTAGAAAACCAAAGAATCAAACGGATGCTCCGGGACAGAGTCCCAGACATGCTGCTTCTACGCTGAGCTGCATGCAATTCTAGGGGGGGCCGCCACCACTACCCCACCCCTCTCCATGGACTCCGATGATGGGGTACTCTCCGCCATGCCTGAGGATTTTGTAGACGGGGAAGATGAGGAGGAGGAGGACGAGCTTGGGGAGAGCACACAGCACACCGTTCTCCCCGACAGCCAGGATCTTTTTATCACCCTGACTGAAATACCCTCCCAATCCAATGAAGCCGGAGAAGGGACCTCTGGTGAGTGTACCTTTTAAAATATAATACATGTTATAAAAGCAAGCATTTTTTAATGATTAAGTAGCCCTGAGGACTTGGGATGCATTCGTGGCCAGTACAACAACTGGAAAAGTCTGTTAACGTGTCTGGGGATGGAGCAGAAATCCTCCAGGTACATCTCCATGAAGCTCTCCTGGAGGTACTCTAAAAGCCTTTGCAGAAGGTTTCTGGGGAAAGCAGCCTTATTCTGTCCTCCATGGTAGGACACTTTACCACGCCATGCTAGTAGCAAGTAATCTGGCATCATTGCGTGACAAAGCCTGGCAGCGTATGGTCCCGGTATTTGCTGGCATTCAAGCAACATCCGTTCTTTATCTCTCTGTGTTATCCTCAGGAGAGTGATATCGTTCATGGTAACCTGGTTGAAATAGGGGAATTTAATTAAAGGGACATTCAGAGGTGGCTGTTCCTACTGGGCTGTTTGCCTGTGGCTGAAAAGAAATCCTCCCCACAGTTAGCCACGTTTGGGGGGGTCATTGGCGCTGAGCTGTTCACGTTTGGCTAGCAGGGATCTTCCCTGATACCAGCCGTGCGGTGCGGTGAGGGGTAAAGCAATCATCCCAGAGAATTGGATGGGGTGGGGGTTAGTTTGGTTTCTGCTGCTGCATGTTAACAGGAAAACCGCAGCACTGAATGGCCAGCTCAGCGGGCTTTGCTTGGTATGGGAAAGGAGGGCGCTGCAGTTATGAAGATTGCAGAAGCTGAAAGACTATGGCTTACCGTGGCCGCCTGCAAGTGGAAATCTGTTGCCCGGCACTGCATGTGTGATCTCTAACACCAAAGCTGCAGGCACTCAATATAAGATGCAAAATGCGACCTTGTACCAAAATCATATGTGCTATGTAATGTGAATAGTGTTGTTCACCATGAAGGAGTATGGCCATTGCTCTGTAAAATGTATCTTTTTAAATACTTCGCTCCCTTTTTTTCCTCCAGCAGCTGCAAATGTTTCAAGTCTCCCTCCTCCGTCCCAAAGGCTATCTCAGATAAGGCAGTGAAAAAAACGCACGCACGATGAAATGTTCTCTGAGCTCATGCAGTCGTCTGGCACTGACAGAGCTCAGCAGAATGTGTGGAGGGACACAATAGCAGAGTACAGGACAGTGGCCGATGAACATGAGGAGGGGTGGCAGCAGGAAGATCAGAGGAGGCATGAGGCAATGCTGGGGCTACTGCGGGAGCAAACGGAGATGCTCCAGCATCTGGTGGAGGTTCATGAACAGCAGCAGGATCACAGACTGCCGCTGCAGCCCCTGCTTAACTGCCCTCCGTCCTCCCCAAGTTCCATAGCCTCCTCACCCAGACGCCCAAGAACGCGGCGGGGGAGGCTCCGGGCACCCAACCACTCCACCCCAGTGGACAGCCCAAGCAACAGAAGGCTGTCATTCAAGAAGTTTTTAAGTGGCCTTTTCCTTCCCTCCTACCCTCCTCCCACACCCCACCCGAGCTACCTTGTGAATTATCTCCCTATTTTTATAATCAATTAATAAAGAATACATGTTTTTTAAATGATAGTGTCTTTATTTCCTTTGCAAGCAAGCTCTGATTGAAGAGTGGAGGGCAGGTGGCTTACAGGGAATTTAGAGGCAACCAAGGGGGCAGGTTTTCATCAAGGAGAAACAAACAGAAGTGTCACACAGTACCCTGGCCAGTCATGAAACTGGTTTTCAAAGCTTCTCTGATGCGCAGTGCTTCCTGCTATGCTCTTCTAACTGCCCTGGTGTCTGGCTGCGCGTATTCAGCGGCCAGGCAATTTGCATCAACCTCCCACCCCGCCATAAACGTCTCCCCCTTACTCTCACAGAGATTGTGGAGCACACAGCAAGCAGCAATAACAATGGGAATATTGGTTTTGCTGAGGTCTGAGCGAATCAGTAAACTGTGCCAGCGACCCTTTAGATGTCCAAATGCACATTCTACCACCATTCTGCACTTGCTCAGCCTATAGTTGAACAGCTCATTACTACTGTCCAGGGTGCCTGTGTACGGCTTCATGAGCCAGGACATTAAGGGGTAGGCTGGGTCCCCAAGGATAACTATAGGCATTTCAACATCTCCAACAGTTATTTTCTGGTCTGGAAAGTAAATCCCTTCCTGCAGCCATTTAAATAGACCAGAGTTCCTGAAGACGCGAGCGTCATGAACCTTTCCCGGCCATCCCACGTTGATGTTGGTGAAACGTCCCTTGTGATCCACCAGTGCTTGCAGCACCTCTGAAAAGTACCCCTTGCGGTTTATGTACTGGCTGCCCTGGTGGTCCGGTCCAAGACAGGGATATGCGTTCCATCTATAGCCCCACCACAGTTAGAGAATCCCATTGCAGCAAAGCCATCCACCACATTTCCCAGAGTCACTACCTTTGATAGCAGCAGCTCAATGATTGCGTTGGATACTTGCATCACAGCAACCCCCATGGTAGATTTGCCAACTCCAAATTGATTCCTGACTGACCAGTAGCTGTCTGGCGTTGCAAGCTTCCACAGAGCTATTGCCACTTGCTTGTGAACTGTGAGGGCTGCTCTCATCTTGGTATTCTTGCACTTCAGGGCAAAGATGAGAGCAGCCTGTGCTTTGGATCCATGCCCTTGCTGACTGGTGAAGGCAGGTGAAAAAATGATGGGCCCCTGGCTTGTGGAGATTATAGAGGGTAGGCTACATATTGCTCTGAAGGAAGCAATAGTGCAGCCTTTACTCAAGAAGTCATCGCGTGACACTGAAAATCTTGTTGTTTTTACTGATGCAGACTAACATGGCTACCCCTCTGAAAACTGAAAATCTAGTTAATTATCAACAGTATGCTGGTAACATCCACCAATATGTCTCTGTCTCATCTGACCTGAACAATGCCCTTTCCTCAGCTGGAGAGAACAAGACTTGCAGCATGTGGCCAGAGAGCCTGCTGCTGCTGAGAGAGCCCAAAGCCCATCAGGGAAGATTGTCACAATGGTGTCTTGCCTTCCTGCCTGCAGAGTGTGTCCTCTTGCTGTCCCAACTGCTTTGGGGAGAACATTAATGTGATCCCAACACTGACCATAAGGGTCTAGCGGGGGAACTCCCTAGAGGGAGCAGCAGAGCTTGCTGGGTACAATATGTTCCACACTTTTCATGCCATCCATTGGAGTGAAGTGCTTCAAGGCTGACAGGGAGACAGGCCCGGGCAGCCAGTTCTCACGACAGTGCTCTCAAGGCCTTTTGACCAATATTTGAAGTTTTAAATATGATGGGACCAGGCAACCTGCAGGATCCTTTTCTGCCCTATGTCCTGTCTTGGTAACTGAGCTCAGCGCAGGGGAAATCTGGGGTATGGCGAGAGACCTGTGTGATTCTCTATTTCTCTTGCATACAGATGGAGCTCGGTAGCCACTCCATCAGGACCAGCCTCCCCTGGTTGTTTTACTGGGCTGTGTCGATTTAGAATCTGGTTTCCCCAAGATTCTGTTCCTTCTGTTGCCTATTGTAAATGGAGTTTTCAGTTTCCTCTGTTTAGGTGGCTGAAAGACCCCAGGCATGAGAAATGATACGTTGTGTTTATTTCTTATTAAACAGATAGTGTTACATTACGGATGATTTCTAGCTTGTGGGGCGGCAGCTGCATTAACTCTACAGCTAGGAGACTGTCTGTCCCCAGGGAATGTAAGCCTTTATGGGAGGGATGGAAGGACATTGGCTTCAACACCACAATATTGCCTAAACTATGCTGTGTTTTGACAGAAGCACAGCACCCCCAAAAAGGTAGAAAGGGATGGAACATGTCCAGATTATGGGGAACAGCACCCCCCCACCCCAGGCACAGTGTATGATGGGAGCACTTCCAGCCCTGTGCCTCTGAATGCTAAGTGGGTATTTGGAGAAATGGCGCTTGTCTGGGTTGTGGGTGGGCAGGAGGGCAGTTCCCGTGAAGCCGTGATGGAGTCAGGAGACGTGGAATTGGAGAGACTTGATCTAAGGCTGTAGAAGTAAATTCTGACATTGTTACCTTATTTCTCATCCTTGCAATAGGGAGCTCTCCACTCCTGAATGAACCAAGGTCACCTCTTCCGTCATATCAGTGCTAATAATTTCCTTCTTTCTTCTCTGGTTTTCTTCTTCTAGGAGAGTTGTGCTCGGGTCCTCCTGTTCCGTGGTGCAAGCAAAGAGATTCGTAACTACAACAGCCAGACAGCATTCCAGGTAGGAGAGTGTGAGCCCATCCCACCTTTGTTGATGATGGAGATGTGCCTGGGGGCCGTCTTGTTTTAGAGAGCACTGAGAAAGAGTATTAGTAGATAAAGCATAGTTGTGTGCCCAGAGAAGAAGGGGAGTCTGTGTTGACCATTTTCTAATCACAGGTGGGTGTAACCCTTCTGTCATGTGGAGTCAGCAGCCACAAGGGCCTGGTTCAATATCTCGGAGTTCCTCTTAACATTACAAAACTAAGCCAACTTGAGCCATAATCCAGAAACCTGGAAAAACTAAACACCAGCCCATGGCACCTCTATGAGGCAATACATCCCTCCTGGGAAGCACTGAACCTATATATAACAAGAGAAAACCTGTACTAAGAGGAGAAGGAACACCGCATTAACAAAAACAATGATTCAAAATGATGCAAACAGTAAGTAAACACCTAGAGCACTGCGCAGATACAAAATGTGTATCTGCATCTGATCGGTGAGACTCAGAAATAATCTGTGGATATAAAGTGGATATCTGTGGATTTGCAGAGCTCTAGATCCAAAATTTGTATCCACATCTGATCTGTGACCTGCAAAAATGGTCCATGGCTATCTGCATCTGCGGATGCAGATATCTGCAGATATAAAGCGGATATCCATGGATTTGAAGGGCTCTATAAACACTACCAGTATCTCTGGTAGTGTTCTTTGCCTTAAGTTTCCCATCTTGTGGTGTGAAAGTCCAACAGACGAATGCCCCTTTAATGTGCCCCTCCCGCTTTCACTCACTGTACCGCACTCAGTTCGTTGTCTGAGATCAGCGAAGTCCCAGAGTCCGGGGCTACATTCAGGGGGGTTCACCTCCTGCCGCGAAGGTGGTGGGGCTGGAGCATTACCTCTGTGTCCATTGCTGCTCATCACTCGCAGCTGCTGCTGCTGCTTATCGCTGCCACTGCCCTTTTAGCTGTGTTGCTGTTTTCTGAGGTTCCACCACCTGGCCCAGCCCTTTGTGATTTCAGCTCTCAGTGATTCCCTGGCCAGTGGGGAACCTCACCCACACCAGGTCTAAGGTTTAGCCCCCTAGCCCAGCTTACTAGCGATTGCAGCTCTGGTCATCCCTGGGAAGACACAAGGACTCTCACTTGAGTCTAACCAGCTCTGTCTTTAAACACTGGAGAGAAAGGATCACATGGCATGTAGACCCTGTCAGTAGAGTCTGTACCACCAAGTAGGAACACCTGTCCCCCACGCCCTCACACACAAACTTTTAGTTGGATGCGGCAGCATCTAGCTTTCTCTCTCACCCATACACCCTTAGTGAGTGACGTTACAGTTAGGGTGACCACCTTCAATTAGGATATACTAAGTACATTTCTGCTGTGCTTTAGTCAGACAGTACGGATAACAACAGTTCGCTCGCCCTGTGTCCAAGACTGAAATTAGTTTTAACCGAAAACAGTCAAAATTGATCACTTTGGCAAAGCAGAGATGTCTGTTGATCACCTACGCAAAGTCTAGATAAATACAGTCTGCTCCTGGGGTCTTTTGCTCCAGTTAATCAATAGATGGTAGGGGAGAGCTCATTCATATCACTGGTTTATTTGGGGATGGGGATTACTGGAACAAACTCTAGCCCCATCTTCCTTATTCTGGAACTGGTTCAGTCCCTGGAGTGACTGGGGGAGGCAGTGCACATGTGCACACAGTAAATACTGCATTCTTATTTTTATTGTTGAACTTGTAGCCCCCCTTTCACACACTTGCTTACCCACATTCACTCACATATCCCCATTCAGAAAAGACTTAAAACCATGGTCCTGATTATCAAAGATCTCCAGTTATCTTTCGCAAGAGTAGTGGTTATTAACTCCAACTTGGGTAGATACGGTCTGCCTCCCTAAATTCCCCCCTGCAGTTGCCGTTTGGAAACTGGCTTCCTTACTTCCTTTTCCAAAGTGCTGTGTACAGATGCTATAGGTTGTCTGAAGACTGTTATGTTCTACTCCGAGGTGGCTGCATTTCAATGGAACATAAAATGATTTTTATCAAGCACGAGAATCTGATTTTTAAACAGATTAAGCAAACAGGTCACACACAATGTTTCCAGTCCAGTAGGTAATGTGCATGTGCAATTACCATGATTGCATATGCAGATTAGGCCATTGTAGGCAAGAGGTATGCTGATGGCCTTTCAAAGAGCAGTGAGTCTCAACCTCTTTGGATCTGTCACCCATGAAATGACTCCAGATCATACAGTGACCCTTTTGCATAGGATTGTGTGATTTGGATCACGAGAAGAAACAGTGGCGGGGGACACTGTAGAGTGGGTGATGGAAATGATGAGGGCTATAGTGCTTGTGAGGGTTGGTGGCTGCTGTATTGGGGGATGCTGCGTTGGGGATATTTTCCTTTCCCCTCCCCCCCATCTCATCTCCCTAACCTAACCTACAAAGCATTCAGCTCCGCGAAAATACTGCACCCAGAGACTGCAGCGTCGGCACCCCAGCCTCTAGAATGGCTCTTCCTCCGCCCCAGAGCTGAACACTGTCTGGGCTGGAGAAGTGGGGAAAGAGAGATCTTCCATTGCTGGAGTTTGTAGGAAGTAGGGGGCAAAGCAGAGGTGGGGAAGCAGCAGGAGGAGGGGAATGAGATGCTCCTGTCCTGACCTCTCTTCCCTCCTGCTGTGTTCTAGTGAGCTGGTGATTTTGCAGAATGTTGTTCTCAATCAGTGAGGTAAGACCCACTTGAAGATTCCACCCGTAGGGTGAGAAACTGCCCTAGGTAACCCACTGCTGTATGTTGTGTAGTTGTAGCCATCTTGATCCCAGGATATTAGAGAGACAAGGTGGGTGAGGTAATTGTGACATTCCCCAGGGTACAGTCTGGACTGCTGGACAACTGTGTCCCCTCAGTTCTCCAACTTGGGGTGCTTTTACACTGCTTTGCCGTGAGAGCAACCACCCCTGGTCTGCTCACACAGAGCCTCCAGCATGTAAATCACTCCTAGCTGTAGTGCAAGAGGGCTGTAGCCGGCCAGCCACTCTGGAATTAGACTGCAGGGCAGCACCAGTAAACTCCCTGTCCCAGGCTTTTCCCAGAAATGTACCCCTTGTACTGCCCCGCACGCCCTGGGATAACACATGCTCATAGACAGTCCATCACTTCATTAATGGAAAATGATGTGTACAAATTCAGTTATCTCAAATGGAGTTTCCCAAACACTTCAAACACACTGGTTAGATAAAACAATAAAACAAGTTTATTAACTACAAAAAGATAGATTTTAAATGATTATAGGTAACGAGGCATAAAAGTTAGAATTGGTTTCAAAGAAATAAAAGGTAAAATGCATCCAATGCCTAACTTAACAAGCTTAGTTATTACAAAGCAAAAGTTTCTCTCACCACATGCTGTAGCAGTCTGACGGGCTGAAGTCCCTTCAGCCGAGATCCCTCCCTAGTCCAGTGATGCTTTCGTTCCCCTCTATTCGACATTGGTGAGGCCTCATCTGGAGTACTGTGTCCAGTTTTGGGCCCCACACTTCAAGAAGGATGTGGATAAATTGGAGAGAGTCCAGCGAAGGGCAACAAAAATGATTAGGGGTCTGGAACACATGACTTATGAGGAGAGGCTGAGGGAGCTGGGATTGTTTAGCCTGCAGAAGAGAAGAATGAGGGGGGATTTGATAGCTGCTTTCAACTACCTGAAAGGGGGTTCCAAAGAGGATGGCTCTAGACTGTTCTCAATGGTAGCAGATGACAGAATGAGGAGTAATGGTCTCAAGTTGCAGTGGGGGAGGTTTAGATTGGATATTAGGAAAAACTTTTTCACCAGGAGGGTGGTGAAACACTGGAATGCGTTACCTAGGGAGGTGGTAGAATCTCCTTCCTTAGAGGTTTTTAAGGTCAGGCTTGACAAAGCCCTGGCTGGGATGATTTAACTGGGATTTGGTCCTGCTTCGAGCAGGGGTTGGACTAGATGACCTTCTGGGGTCCCTTCCAACCCTTATATTCTATGATCCTTCAAGTATTGTTGATGCCGTGAGTAGAGTCGAAGGGAGAGATATCTTGGGGCATCTATCCTCCTTTCTTATAGCTCTCCTTTTCTTCGAAAATCATCTCCAGCCAGGGTTCAGGAGACAGGAAGTCTGAGAGGATGGGAACCTCCATCTGTTTCTTTGCCAAAATGTAAATTCCTTGCTCGCACTCTTTTTCCTGCCAAAGAATGGTTGCATAACCAGGTGATAATCCATCTGATTTTGTTTAAATCTGGCTGAGGCGTCAGTTTGCCTTTTGTCTTTGAGGAACTGGTTTGTGCCTGCTTTTCTAAACTTGGAACATGTCTCAGTAATGTTATACAGTAGAATCTTACAACTTTTCAATGTTGCCACACATATTTTACCAGGACAATAATAATCAGCAAATTATTCATTTTCAAATGATACTTCATGTCACGGAGTTCCTGGGCAATGCTCTGGAACTGCTCCCCACAAAGCCAGACAGGACTCTGGGGAAATCTCCTTTCTGTGAGCAGACTGTCTTCAGAACACACAGCTCAGACAACTTCCACCTTCCTGGGTCTGACCTCGGAGCATTCAGCATCCTCCGCCCCTCTGTGCGCGTCCCACAGCCAGTCCGCCCAGGCAGGGTCCTGGGGAAGCAGAGGGTCCTGCACCCCAACTTCGTGACTCTCAGCCAGCCAGTAAAACAGAGGTTTATTAGATGACAGGAACATGGTCTAAAACAGAGCTTGTGGGTGCAGAGAAGAGGACCCCTCAGCTGGGTCCATTTCGGGGGGCAGTGAGCCAGAAAACCACATCTGCACTTCACTCCATGTCCCCAGCCAGCACCAAACTGACTCCCCCTCCAGCCCCTCCTCCTCTGGGCTTTGTCCCTTTCCCAGGCCAGGAGGTCACCTGATTCCTTTGTTCTCCAACCCTTTAGCTCTCACCTTGCAGGGAGGAAGGGCCCAGGCCATCAGTTGCCAGGAGGCAAAGTGTCGGCCATTTATGTACCC